ACCCAAGGTCCATGACACGACCAATCCTGCAAATTGACAGCTCTGCTCCTGAATGTCAACAAAGGGGCGGAGCAAGTCGTGGCATCACAGGACTTGTTCGCTAAGAGCTCTTAGCAACCTGTGACGCCCTGTGGTGCTTCCCTCCAAGCTCAGTGATGTCGACAGTTGCCGGGATCTGAGCTGGAAGCTCTAGCTGGCATCCTGCTGAGCTCCTGGCAACCAGTGACGTTAGCGACTGTGACTGACATCCCAATGGCAATCGAGTCCCGGTGGGAATGTGTGTTTGCAGCTTGTAAATCCAATACGTCTCTCTGCATAAAAGTTTGCTTCTCCTTTCTCCCCTCCTCTAACACCAGACATAATTATTTCTAACACCAGACATAATTATTTCTATCACCAGAAAACGTGATGCTGTGGGACCTCTGAGATCTTCCCCTAATAAATATTGACTTAAAGGAGAACTATGAGGTGAGTGCTTTTCATTCACCTCATAGTTCTAGCCGACCTGTGACAATGAGACTGTCACAGGTCGGCTCAGTAGATCGGGAGGTGAGCGAACACATACCGGCGTTCGCTCACCTCTCGATCCTGTCACGGCTCTCTGCCGTGACAGGGGAGGGGCTGGATTCCACCCTCCCCGCTCCGATCAGCCAGCCTCTAGATAGGCAGAGCTAGCTGTCAGTCATGCAGCTGGGCGGATGCCGGCATAATTGTCGGGATCCGCTTCAGCTGCGGCGTCTCAGTATACCGCGAGCTGTAGGCTATACTGAGCCTAGCCTATACTGAGCCTACTCACCCTAGGCTATACTGAGCCTAGGGTGACGGGCGGACGCTAATTTGTGTCTTCCCGTTACCCTAAGGAGAACTATGGGGAAAAGCCTTAACCCCATAGTTCTCCTTTAAAATACTTGACAAATATTTACGTTTTCATTTCCTTTTAGCTCTTTCATTCTTTTTATTGCATTGATCTTATGAGTCTTGGGCACCTATGGATGCCACATCTGGAGAGTAGAAGTTCCTTTCTCAATAAAGTATGTTCGGATACTTATTCCTGTGACTCAAGAAAGACCCAGTCGGGTCGAAACGCTTAGTCGCCTAGTTAGAGGGGAATGCACATTTCAAATCATTTGCCAGCAGCAGCAATTCTGATCTTCAGATGTCCATTACATTTGATTCAGTACAGAGCTTTTATTCCTGCTTCATGAGTGTTTACATCGATCGCGTTCACTGAAGTCTTAGAATATGAAGACGTATCTGCTGTGCTTTATATTGACTATTAAGTGATTGAAGTCTATGCTGATCTGATGGTCCAATACCCCCATATATATCCAACTCAATGTATTTGAATGGCCGTGAAGATGACATTTAAAAATGTTACAGAGGTGTCGATCGATACTACTTTGTTGTAGATCTATTGACTCGAAATATGTTCTGAGTAAAGATACACTGGAGTTATAAGTAGACATTTTTAATTGTTCTTGTAACATTAAAATGGAATATATTTTGACATTGAATTGGCTTGCCGTATTGTATTTCCATTATGATATTTAATATACATGGTTGTCTGCATGACAACCATTCCCTCACCAGTCCCTCCCATGACAGTGAGGATCATACGATGGCAGAGAGCAGCAAAAACGGGTGTTAGAGGTTTTCTTTCAATTTGTGAATGGGTGGGAAGGGGACACAGTAGTTGCTCTAAGGTCGGATTCATACCATGACGTTCCAGGAACACTTGTCATGTTCTCACATGGGTGCACATTGGTGCTCGTTCATGTGCTGCATTTGTCATACGTCCCCATTGAGTTCAATAGGGGGCCTTAATGCTCGGCAAAAAAGCTCATGCAGCAAATTCTGCAGCATGCTTTCTGCACTTTTGGCTTCCGTGCTTGTGTGTGTGTTTTAACGTGCGCAAACATGCAGAAAAAAAGTGTGACTTTCTGGTCATGTTTGGGGTGCCATTTAAAATGAATGGCAATGCAATTGCGTTTTGCTGCCTTTTTTCACGTGAAGTGTCTCAAAAAGTGCGCGCTTGTTGTGAGTTCACGGAACGTGAAAGTTTAAATCTGGCCTAACATATCTGCACCTTTTTTTAATGCAGTGTAATAAATCTGCACATTGTGGTATGCTAAAAATTATGTGCATTGTGGTGCACTTTGTACATGCGCTAGGGTGCCATTCAAAATGAGGCATATAGAGCTGTGCAATAAGGTGCATTACTGTAACACACAGTAAAGCAGGGTTGGGCAACACCAGCACTCCAGCTGTGCTTTAACTACAAATCCCAACATGCCTCTGCGAATCTTGCCTGTAACTGTCAGTCGTGCAATGCATCATGGGACTTGTAGTTCCACAACAGATGTAAGGCTGTAGTTTCCCACCCCTGTAGTAAAGTACAAAATGCAGCACCATAGAGTGACTCCACCATTAAAGATAGTCACTGCAAATGCTTCTAAAGCAAAGCTTGTATTTGTAATGAGCCAATATGGCTGTACCTCTGTATTTAGAATGACAAGTGTGCAAGCTTTCAGATACACTGACAGACAATAATAATCAGGTAATGCCATAGACTAGACATAGAGGCCAGAAAATCATAGCACTGTCACCTGCTTCTGTTTTTCATGTGACTTTACCCAAAGGACTAATCCATTAGCACATCTCTTCCAATCAGATGGAAAATCTCAATGAGCAATTTCAGGGTTTCTGGCAATCAGAAGAGCTTATTATTGGCTCCTAGAGGAACCCTAAATTGCCCCATCCATGCCCAGATGGCGAGCGTTGGGTCTGGGACTGGTTTGGGTTGTTTGGCCGCCCTCCGCTGAGAGGAGAAATGTTCTACTTACATTCCCTGGAGTTGTACATCCCATGAGGGATCCAGATCTTGCCGCTGCTAGGACAATATCGCGAAGGTCCGGAGGAGGTTTGGACAAGTCAAAATCAATCTGCACCCCTCCGGTGAAATCCACCAGGGCCTCCGAGATGAACCCCCAGTGCAGGTTCTGGTAAGATCCACGTAACCTATCGGGATAAAGCACACAGCAGTGTTACAGGTCTAAGAAAATTAACCGAATGCAAAAAATACTGACCCGAGCAGTGACATGAAGGGCCCTATAGCAGCTGCAGACATATAACTCTTCCCTTCCAGTCCTTAATGTACATCAAACTCTACCTTTCAGGTTTCAGTGTTCACAGGGGCCTATGTATTTTGAATATTTTGGGAGGCTGCTGCTATGAGAAAAGTGAAGCTAAGGGATGTAATCTTCACCTATCAATAGCCTTGGCCACAAGATGGAGCTAAGGAGGAAAAAAAGAAATACATTTTTCCTGTGCTTCTCAGCTTCATCTAGGGGCCATAAGGCAGTATTTTTGTTAAATTGCATTCGACTTGGAAATAAAACTCCTTTTTGGGGTGTACCCCCTTCCTCAGAGGAAACGCCTTAGTTTGGTCATGGTAGCTGGTAGGTGCCGTCTGTAGGAATAGCTTACTGCCAGTCTATTGGTTTTCTCTGCTGCAACCCTTGAAGTTTGGATGCGGGACACCAGTATAGTTATGCACTTATGATTGACTCTGTTTGTAAGTCATTTTAATTTTCCTTAATTAGTATTAATTAATTTGATATGCTTCACGAGAAGAAGGCGCTGTCCTTGTGTTTGTTTTATCATATCCTGTAAAATGTCCCTGTGGGATGTGATTGGCTGCCTCTTTCTCAAGAAGATATGGAGATCGAAGAAAATGTGAATTCCCCATTAGCGCCAACTAGTGTAGACATGTAAGCTGCGAAAAATTTGGTTCGGATATTTCGTTATTTCGGAATTCAAAATTCAGATCCCGAAATTCAATTTGGTTCTGGTTTCGGATTCGGACGAAATCCGAATTTCGTTAGTTTCGGATGAGTTTACGAATATTCGTTGGGAGTACAACAGAAAACCATATACAGATATTAATACTACAGCTGAATCTCCCAGACCTGAATGGCATCAGGATCCGAATTTCCCAATTGCATTCGGGAGTTCCCGAATGCCATTCGGGTCTGGGAGCCTCAGCTTTAGAAATATATGTATATGGCTCACAGACCCGAATGGCATTCGGGTTCCGAATTTCCGAATTGCATTGGGGAGCTCCTGAATGCCATTAGGGTCTGTGAGCCATATACATATATTTCTGAAGCTGGGCACACACCTTACAACCATCGCAAGACTTTTGTCTTGGACAGGCAGATCGTACTTGCGATGATCGCAAGCCGCGCCCCCCTGAGGGGCGGGCTTCCGATGACCACAATGCCGAACGAGCAGTGTGCGCTTGCGCACACCGGCCTGTCCGGCTTTTATCTTACGAACATGCTACACACCCGCCGAACATCGTACGATGCTCGGCGGGTTTTCAAACATGTTCGTAAGTTAAAAGTCGTGCGACCTTACAGTAGTAGAGGTGGCACGGCTTCCACACACCTTACGATAATCGTACGATCGCGGGATTTCGATTATCGTAAGGTGTGTGGGCACCCTAAAGCTGAGGCTCCCAGACCCGAATGGCATTCGAGATCCAAATTTGGGTCTAGGAGCCTCAGCTTTAGTATCATATGTATATACTGAACAGAAATTTTCGTTATGGCATGTGACTTTTCTGGCCAATCAGATGGCTCCCATGTTGCCTGTAACGAAAATTCGTGTTCAGACCCATTTGGATGCATTAAACCGAAAAACACATCTGATTGGCCAGAAAAGTCACATGTCCGATTTAATTTAGTTTTTGAATGAAATTCAGACGGGATCTGAAATTCAGAAACCGAAATTCGGATTCGGACACATGCGGATGCATTGGGATTCAGAAATTTGTGTCCAAGTGTCTGATTTTTGGAAAATTTGTCCGAATTTTGATTCGGAACGAAACGAATCGCACATGTCTAGACTAGTCTATGCATAAAGTGTTGGAAAGAAAATGTACTAAGAACGTTCATTTTTGTCTCGTTTGCACAGAACGTTTGAGGATTTTCGCAAGATGAGTGGCTCTGCAAATTGTTTATAAATTCACCCCTAAGTCTATGACTACCCTGTCCACAGGTTGGCATAGCTGATTTCACTGCAGAATGAACAGCGTTGCCACCCTATTAAAGGAAGTCAAAAAATAATAGATCTACTGGCAGTGAGCGGAGGTGAAAGGGTTGCAAATATACAAATTAAATGCATTGCGATGCACTTGAGTTTTTTTTTATTGCTGTTGCATGCTTTTTTTTAAAAAAAAGAAGTACTTGCCACACTATTGAGCACTTGTATCTTTTGTCATTGGCTATATAAAAAAGAAAGGCTTTCACTGGCCAGGAGTTTAGAGGCTTGGATAGCAATCCGGCAGTGGATTTGGACGCATGAACAAGTCCCTTTGAGCTTCTAAGAATGTAGGGATCAAACAAACCTGCTGAAGCTTTAGATTTGATTGTTGTGTTCGGTACAGAATTTGCTGTCCTCATTGTAGTGGATGAAATGAATAGTGGAAGCTATAAGTCATTTTCTCAAACACTGTGGGAGATCATCATGATAATGGAGCCGTAATCACATAATATAGTGCTAAAGTGGGTCGCCGTGGACTGGTTTATGGATCACGGGGGTTACCTTTGGTCACAAGAAATAGGTACATATTGAATTTGAACTGTTACAAGATTTATGTTATATTTTGTGTGCTCTATCTAGATATAATTTGTTAAAGATATCACCAGCACACCATATTGAAGTGAAGAACACGTCTGCTTATTGACGCTTTATATAAAAAATGTTTAATTTAACATGAGGATAGTGTGTAGATCACTGCCAATGGCAATATCTACACACTGTCCTCATGTTAAATTACAAAGTTTTTAAATTGTTTTTGGGGGGAGTATGATGTCACAGTGATGTCAGGGGGTTGGTGGGAGTGGTTTTCTGTTCATTTGCACTGTTGATTTAGCTATTGTGAGAATTAGCTCCAAACAGTAGTGTGTTAAGGACACTACCACTCGCTTAAGTTCTTTTTAGGGCATCTTTGCCCACTTTTATTAATTCAGAAGTCAAACAAATTCCACACAGGTTTTTCCCTCACAGGGGTTTTCCCATTTTATAGTACACACAGTACTGGCAACGAAAACACAGATTAGGCTTCTTGGCTTGTACCTTCAGCATCTGGCCATTTGGACCCTCTGAACCTCTTGCTTTGTCTATTTTCTCAGACTAGTCACAGTGGCTGGTCCTCACCTCACCAGTGTATTGCCACACAGGCTGTATCACACTCACTTGCCACACAAGCTGGTTCCAGGGTTGAGCCCTCCAGACCGCTGCAGAGAGACCTCCTCTGTCTCCCAGGTGGAACCACTTACATAGGAGCCTTGGATATCTTATGGAGGCACTAATGAGCCAGCTTACTTCAGCTGGGCTGGTTACCTCTAGGCCTCCAGCATCTCTTAACACTTCCCCCTAGAGCAAGAACCTTAGAACTACACCTATAACTGGGCCCTACAAATCTTCCATCCTGGCTATGCCCAGACATCCCCATCTGCCCGCTGCCGCACTATATAAGATAGATTTTTCTTTAGCTGTATTGCAATTTCAAGCCTGATGAAGGGGACCCTGTGTGACCCACGTAACGTTGTTGTTTGTTTTGACATGAAGTGTCAATAAACAGACATGTTCTTCACTTCAATATGGTGTGCTAGTGACCTCTTTAACAAGTTTAAGTATTGGCGGTGCCATCTGCGGTCACTTCGAGCACCCACACTGACAGGGATACCCGGCAAGGAGTGCAGCAGGATTCTGGAATATACTATCTAGATATAAAACATTAAAACATATAATTTTATCGGGTTTATTTGATAATTTTATCGAGTTTAGCGTATCGGTGAAAGTGGTCGTACTTGGCATAGGCTTTCTCTAGCAGGGACGGCCAAAATTCGTTGCTGCTTCTTGGCTGGACAGACAAGTATTTTCCGTGAAGTAAAGGTAGGCGATCATCGACCACCACGTCCACCCATTCTCCGTACTGCCAGAACTGCAAGAGAGAAAACGCCACTGCAATTCAGATCACAAGGGAAGCATGCTACTGTATAACAGCATTTGCCAATGGGGACACCAATAAAAAATAAGCCACAGTATTTAAATTATTAAAGAATATCTATGGTCAACAAGTATATATAAATCTGTATTTCTATACATAATTTTCATAAGTTCTATCCCGCTCCTAGTAACCACATCCATCTGGAAGTTTGTAAACCTATTGAAGATGCCCATAGGGTGGACTTCTTCAATGCAGTGGCACAATGTCACTCAGCCCTGTGAATATCGCCACACTCACAGAGCCTGCCTTCTGAACTACAACTCAATGTCTTAACAATGTAACATCATCATTCCCTGCTGGAAGCAATGCATGACGGGACATGTAGTCTAAAAGGAGAACTATGGGGTCAGGGCTTTCCCCCATAGTTCTCCTAAGGGTCACGGGAGAACACTAGTTTTCTCCCGTGACCCAAAGCTCAGTATACAGCGAGCTACGGCTCGCGGTATACGGAGACGCCACAGCCGGGACGGATCCTGACAACACTGTCTGGATCCACCCAGCTGCGGGATTGACAGCTGGCTCTGCCTATCCAGAGGAAGAGGCAGCTGTACCCGCCCCCTCCCCCGTCCGTTTCGCCAGTCAGCGTTGGAGGATCGGACAGGGGAGGGGAAGAGTCCCTGCAGGGAGCCGTGAATGACAGTCACGGCTCTCTGCAGGGATAGATCGAGAAGTGAGCGAGCAATGGTATGTGTTCACTCACTTCCCGATCTATAGAGCCGACGTGTGACAGTTTCATTGTCAGGCCAATAGTTTTTTTTTTTATCCTTCTCTACCTTCCTACTAGAACTACAGGAAGAGTAGATTCCATAGCATAGATCCCCCCCCCTTCCTTGCAAGCTACATCCTGTCAGTATAATAAGTCAGCCTGAGGTAGTTGTTTCAGGTGGCATCTCATTGGGTCATGTGGGGAATGCAGCAGATGTGCCTACCACCCCCTTTCCGTCCAGAGCGTTCTGTGATGCTCTGGCCAGCTTCTCTCCCAGTTCACTGATGTCACTGGTTGCCAGCAGCTGAGCAGGACATTGTGGCTGGCATCCCACCCAGCTTATGGCAAGACCAGTAATGTGAGTGTACTGGGCGGGATGCTGCAAACCAAGAGCCGCCCCTGACCATCCCTCTTCCCTGGAACCCAGAACGTTCACCATGAGATGCAACCCTCCCTTCCCCCCCAAACTTGCACCAAGAGAACATAACCCCACCCAGAACATGCATATGAAGTACCACACCCAGGCCTCAGGCAGCAAGACATCTAGGGACGGCCCTGCATATCCCTCTCCTGATCTGGGGGCATCTAATTACTCTTTGTGCTGGTCCACCCTCCCTTTACATACCTACATAACCTTTTATGTAGCTCCCAGGGAAGGGAAATACCATGCAGTGTCACTTGAGTGACAGATCTGAGCCTGCTGGGGCTGCTGACATCACATCCAAGATGGTGGCACCCATCAGCAGCCTCTCGGCTTTTGGATGTCTACACAAGGGAGGCTTTTACATGTAAATAGGATGCATAAATGAAACATATACTGTAACTGTATGGGAAGATTGTTGTTGAAATAAATGGTCCGGTAACAGGGTCTCTTTAAAGCCATAGGAATATTCTAGCGGCTAAAGTCACATCCTGCACTTAATAATTTTTTTAAAAATTTTGCAGACTCTTTATGCTCCAATTTATTGGATCTGATTGAGTAACGTTTCATCCAACAAGTACAATCTGAGATTGAAATTTTAATGACATGTCACATATTTTGATCCAGGCTTCCTATGTCATTAAGGCAATAAGTGGTACCCATACAATGGGAAAAGTAGAAACGCACGTCCAAACAGATCACGAGATCTTTATGGCATTTTACTATTGTTCCTCCTTGTTCTAGGAGGGTATTTCCACTCTTCACAGGGAGGGGACTGCAGTGAGTAGATACTCCGCAGGCTAACCATAATCATACAACATGCAAAGTAACCACAGCAAGCAAAGGCGGTCATGTGGAATATGTAAATATTTGCAAAGAGGGAAGCGTGCTTTGCTTGTCGTTTGCACATTGTTTAAAATAGATTTAGCAGCGTAATCCAGGTGAAAGAACAAAGAAAATTATTTAGAGAACATACGGTTAGAGCGTTATGTAACCCATCTGAACCCGAGGAGACCTTCCGCGTTGGGAATCAATTATTATTTGACATCGAAGACCACTGATCATGAAATGAGCGGATCCCCACAGATGGAAAATGCTTATCTCCCCTGAAAGGTCCAAGTCTAGCTGTGCCAATCACTGGGGGGTTATCATGGGCATAACTACTAATCATGGTGCCCAATTGCAAATGTTTGGGGCTCCCTGGCTAACATTCTTTGTAGAGGCTGGCAGATCCTGAGTTCTGACTTCAGCCTTTCTGTACTGGAAACGTCCCAGTTTAGTTTTCTTAATCAGGTCTGCTAATGTGGCCCCGTTTTATCACAGCGTGATCTATCTCCTTAGAACTGCCCACCCCCTTCCCCATCTTCAGCACAAGGGCTTATTTTCTTCCATATAATCTATCTATATCGTTGGGGAAGGTGCACTGATGAATGATTACTGTATACAAATGTTCCCTGGCAAACAAAACTACGAACCCGCTCAACATGTAGCCCGATATTTTGTGTCAACTGGGAAAATGCTGGTGCTCAGGAAAGGTTACGTCCACCTCAGTACACAACGAATATAACACAAGTTCCAGTGCTCAGCTTCATGCTCAAATCCTTTATTAATAATAATAGCAAAAGAGCAGCTCACATCACAGAACCAGCTAATACGTTTCAGACATTCTAAGGCCATGAGTGACTGAAACATGTTGGTGGGTTTTGTGATGTGAGCTGTTCCTTTTCGCTATTTAATAAAGGATTGGCGCATGAAGCTGAGCGCTGGAACTTGTGTTATATAAAGTTCCCTGGCTCCTGTCAGTCCCCAAATAATAGTGAACAGTTCTCTGATTTCGGCACCTCATTTGCCCAGGAAGAAGGAGTTGGAATCCAGGGCAGCGAGATATTTTTCACATGAATAAGTTTAACATTAGTAAAGCTGGACATTTTTTATTCAAGTTGTAAATAGACACGAAAAGGATATAAATCCACTTTTTGTGCACCAAATGTTTTAATACATGCAGATATGTCTATGTAATAGAAGGGTTGGTATCACCATTGTATTACACAGAGCCTGTGCAAAAAGCAGAGCTGTGGGAGGGACCACGCAGGCTCTACCCACTACAAGCGGCCTGCAAAAAACTACAGGAGGGGCGGAGACAAGGCCAGTCACCCTGCACAAGGACAGAGAGCAGCAGTGCACGGTCTTTATTTGTCAGGATCCAGAGCACCCCCAGGTGGCGCTGGAGCCAGGTCCTGCAGTTCCTGTGCTCGCCTGCGGGTGTCTCCAGCAGCCAGTGACTGTAAGGAACCTGCAGCTCCAGTACTCACCTGCGGGTGTGCCCCAGCTGTGAGTGATCATCCCATCACCTGGTGCTTCCTGGGAGGGTATTTAGGCCCTCCCTGCAGTCAGGAAGCTGGCTCAGTATTGTGTCGCCTGCACTTGACTGCTTCCTGAACCCAGCTTCCTGAACCCAGCTTCCTGAACCCAGCTTCCTGAACCCAGCTACCTGAACCCAGCTACCTGAACCCAGCTACCTGAACCCAGCTACCTGAACCCTGCTTCCTATCTGCAGACCTGTCACCGACCCGGCTTGTTACCCGACCACTCTTCTTGGATCCTGTTTCTGTACCGTGCTGCCCTCCTGTTAACGACCTGGCTTGTACCTGACCATTCTTCCTAAATCCTGTACTGTGCTGCCCTCCTGTTAACCCTCCTTGTTACTTCACTGCTAAACCTGTGGGGGGTTGAGGGGGTTAGTAGTTTTGTTTGATGGTAACAAATAAACTGTGCATAGAACCCTATCCTGTGTGGGCATATTAATTTGGTCATCCTGCGTGGGTACCTGCATGAGGTGTGAGGACGCCTGTACACGGTACCCTGACATTATTACAGGAAGCTCCAATTGTCGCAGTGAATTAATGCACAGATCTGAAAGAAATACACAAAGCCCGCCAAGATTCAAGGGAGAATACACATGACACTTGTATTTAGACAATATATGATTATCCCAGAGTTCAGCTTTAACAGTTTAGTTTTTATTAGCATCCTCCCTAATGGGGTCCCTTTCTACCCTGGGGATCCCACAAAGCTCGCCAAGATTCAAGGAAGAATACACATGACATGACTCAAAGTAGGTAAATGAACCAGAGCAGGAGGGCAGTCCCTAGCATTTTTGATGCCTGAGGCCAGGGGTGGGTGGGGATGGAGCAGGCGGTGAATGATGCTGGCTGAAGCATCCCGCTCATGACCCTGGCAAAAAGGGGAAGGCAGGCACACTGCAAACAGTGTGCAGCAGAGCAGCCATGCCACTCTGCCTGCCACACGCCCACATGACCCAGAGGCAACAGCCTCAAGAAGCTGCCTCATTACATGGGCAGCCCTGGACCAGAGGATAAAAATGCTTCCATTCTTTTTACTTTTCTTTCTTCTCCTTTTCTGTCCCTTTCTATTCGTTTTCCTATCCTTTCTTTTCCTTATCTTGCCTTTCTCCTCCTTTCTTAATCAAATTGCCTAAAATAGTCACTTCTTACCCTAAAGTGAAAGATTCCGGCATATTTGTGTGTGAACTCCTGGTCTTTGGGAATTACATTTTCTAGAAACCTCCGGTGCAAAGTTAAAGCTCCAACAACGGCAAGAACCCAGCAGTCACCTATGAAAACACAAACGTACTTTAAATATGAATGGATAACAGCAATGTATATTAAAACGTTAGATCCTAAATCACATTTTAACCTTTTTAAAGTGCAATCTACTCAAAACAGGAAAAGAGAAGAAGAAAAACACCCAGATACAGTATAATCCTTAGATTTGGTTGGTAGTTGATTAGGGATCTTTGGCTGTAAAATTAGGTGTGGGAGGAGAGATGGAGGTCTGGAGTAAAACCATTCCAACAGTCTTACCTATTTCTCCTTGCATGAGGTCAAAAATGCTCGCTCCATCAACCAGAAAACGAGGATCCTTGTTTATCTCCTAAAACAAAAACATAAAAACAATTTGTAATATCATAGAAGGTATAGTAGGCCTAAACCCGAGAAACAAAATGTAACACATTGCAGTTTGCCTTAAATGTGGTGGCTGCATCAGTTTTTTTAGACCTTTATTCCCTTTATGTTCACCTGGTGATCCTGCCAATAACACACTTCCTGTCCTAGGGTGACAACGCACACTCACTGCACTGTATCTATGGAGGAATAGTGCTGTCACCCTGGGACAGGACTCCAGAACACCACTCCTCATCTCCATAATTTGAGGGGGGCAGGAGGGGGGTGGTTATATAGCTTACAGAGATGCACTGGACACAGCTGATATATAACACTGCAGAGAGCACAGTTACAGCGTGAAGTTACATAGTTGGTAAGTTTACATGAAGACACAGGTCCAGCCAGTTCAACGTATGAATGTGTGCGTATATACATGTCACTAATAGTTCCCATGTCCTTGTACATTGTACTGTATATTTGGTATACTGATTATCGGGTGGGGGG